GACTCCCTCAATATCATGGGCCGAGGGTTTATGGCAAACTATCGCCACCCCCCAGTATCACCAGCGATGTGAGACAATGTTACCCGCAGTCACCTTTCCTATTTCACTCCGCTACTGATGAAGTGATGGAAACAACATTCGATGGACACGATGTAAAGCGTGTGGAACTACTTCCTGGTGAGCGACTTCTTGACTTGGAGTATGCAGATGATATTTCCCCAATCTGTGACAGCTCTCAAACATACCAAGCAGCACTGGACCAATTAGCACTGGCTGTCTATCGTTTTGGGCTATGCTTTGCTCCATCCAAATGCAAAGTTCTTCGCCAAGATTGGCGGAGACCCAACCCTGCGCTAATGCTTTGTGGTGATTTGTTAGAAGTCATTCCGCAATTCAAGTACCTGGGCAGCTATATTAGCACCCGTGCAATCGAAGATGAGGTTACAAACCGTATAGCAAAAGCTCGAGGTGATTTTCCCAATCTCCGCCACCTATGGCGCAGATGCGACCATTAATTTCGCCCTGAAGGCCAGTTTATAACGCCGCCGTCCATTCAACTTTCCTATATAACTGTGAAACCTGGCCCATCAGGTCGACAGACATGAAGAGGCTCGTCACATTCGATCATCGCTGCCTTCGCAGCTTAGCTCATGTCTGCTGGGAGCACCGCGTGAGCAATGAGCGTGTTCGGCGTCGCGTATTTGGTGCAGGAAGAGCGAGTGAACTGCTCAGCACCATTATATCACGCACCAGGCTCCGATGGTTGGGCCACGTGTTGCGCATGCCAGCCCACCGACTTCCGCGACGTGCATTGTGTGCGCTTTGTGGGTACGGTTGGAAGAGGAGGAGGGGAGGCCAAGCGATGACTTGGTCGGGAGGAATGAAAACCCTCACTTCGAAGTTGGCGTCGGTTGGTGCATCCCGACTTCCTGGCTGGGGTGCTAAGGTAGATGAACACGTTTGTTTGGACACACTTGCTGATATGGCTTGGAGCCGGCCCTAATGGCGTTTGTGTTGTGATTTCCTTTGTCCATCCCCTTCCCTTTAGGTTCCCTCTCCAATCCCGATCTTTTGCAAAACCTTTAATATAATATTTAATCTCATATTTTTCTTGTGTAATTTGTGCACTTTTTTGGTATCCTATCTTTTTGTACTGCTGCACATTAGTTGAGGTGTTTCTCACCCTCGGCTAACGTGTACTGATGATGGTGATGATGACGATGTTGCTGCTAATGATGATGATGATGATGATGATGATGATGATAATGGGCCAAGAAGTCACCAAGTGGCTGCAACGACACTTTGTACTTTGAAGGTGCGAGGCGCACGGCAAATGATAGGACCACTGTAAAGGGGCTACTAAGGATTGACTGGATCGTCTCGACATCCCTAAATAGCAAGACAATATTGTCTGCATAATCGAGACCAACTAGCTTATCACCAGGCAGCACCTTAACGCCTGCATCTGGTGGATCCTCAAGGGAACACTTCATGATGGATTCCTCGATGAAATTGACCAGAAAGGGGAACTTGGGCAACATTAGCGAACGCCACTTATGGTCGGAAAGATATTCGATACGTCACCCTAGACCTTGACGCGGCCTGTCGTCTTCGAGTATAAATCACGTACAATGTTCACATATTTTATGGGAACTTTTTTCCGCTCATGTATCTCGAACAGAATACATCGATCGACTGAATCGAACGTAATATTAAACTAGAGGAATACAGCTATTGTCGGTCTGCGATGTGCATGGCGCTACTCAAACACATTACGCGGTCTTCACAGGCCCGTTCTTGGCGGAAACCTACCTGTTCTTCCCTGATCCAGGTTTACCGTTTCGCAGTGAGGCGACGAACGAGAGCTGAGGCCGGTGCTTTTGTTACAACTAGCGCCGGGACAGTATCCCTGTGGTTAGCGCAGTCGAAACGACTGTCCTTGTATATTGCCACTACAATGGATTTACTCCAATTAGGTGGGTTGGTCTCTTTCTTTCGGACATGCTCGAACAGGTTTGTCATTGCTTTGTAGAGGACCTCACCTCAATCCTTAAACAGTGTATGTGAGAGCGAATCTGGGCCAGCAGCACGCAAACGATTGAGGGCTGTGATCGCGTTTCGGATCTCAGTCTCTCATAGAGCCTTTAAACTAACCAGCATTGGCTCGCGCTTCATCATTTGTGATGGATATCCGGAAGCAGTTGGCCAACTGAACGGATCTTGAAAGTGTTCCGCCCAACGAGCCATAAGGTGTCCCTCCTTGTGAACCATGACATCCGCGCTGTCTCTGATTGTGTCACTGACGCTTGGTTTCCTGGGACCAGTGGTGCGGATCGCTTAGAAGAGCTTGCGATAATTGTCTACTGCTCCCGCCTCCATTTCTTGTGCCCTACCAGTCCACCATGCTTCCTTGTCAGCAGCCCGGCTATGCTTTAGTTCGCGCCTAATAGTCCGTCCGGTCACATTGTGCTCAGAGCCATCCGTGAGTTTTACTCTGGATTCCAACAGGTTCACCGACCTCCCGGATATCCAGTGATTGGTGTATAGCAGTGGAGTTCCTATTCTACTGAAGCTCAGTGTCATTAGGACAATAGCGCGTAAGTTCGGTACACAGTGTATCCTGTTAGTCTTGCCTGACGGAGGGTTTCCAATCGAGGGAGATGTTTGAACGCCTCCTAGTCGTGTTCATGGAAACACGACAGCATACCAAGGCATCACCAGAATCATCGCAGCTACTCCACAGGATGGAATAACCCCATCTGTAGCTTATGGCAATGTGGTTTATTTGGGTCCAGGACTGACCAGCTACGGGAGTACGCCAAGTGGGACTTCGGCGCCCACTGTGTATAAAAGCGGTGTTGCTACGAAACAGCTGGTGCTCCTTACACCGTTGCGACAGACGCGCGCCGTTGTCCGTCCGTTCGGAGTTAAAGCCATAATTACCACCTAGCTGAGCTTCTGGAGAGACCAGGCAAACTACTTGCGCATTGATATCCCCTGCAAGGGCTATGATATCTGGACGAGTGCTGTTGCAATGTAGCGTTTTCAGTTCGTAGTAGAAGGTGTCCGTAGCAGCATCAGAGCTGCAGTCGGTGAGGGCATGAGCGGAAACCACCAACAAACAGCGTCTAATGCTACTTCCTAAAGCAACCTTGGCTAATGTTGTCAAACGGGCTGTACACAAACGGCTGTTGTCAGGAATCCAATCAACCAACGATGACAGCCTTGGAGCTGGAAACAAAGACCACCCCAGCTTGACCAGTACTTGCCGCATCAGCGTCTCCGAATGCATACAACCAGTAGTGAGTGGACAAGTTAAGCGCAGTTAGTTCAACATCCCCATGAGGGTCATTGATGCTGCTTTCAGATACACAGCACACGTCAGTATCCAGTGTGTCTAACTTGCGTGCTTGAGTAACCTGTTGACATATTTATCTTGGTGTGCTTACGTCGAACGCCGCCAGGGAAACAAGACAGCTTGGTCTTATAAGGGACTGTTGCCGGTAGGCGTCCAGTGGGTAGTGAGGGAAGGTAGCTGCAGATGGTGTGGCTACGATGGCATCGCGGTTGCTGTCAATTATGCTGGAAATTATTTAAGGGAATTTAGTAATGAGAGTTGGGAGGGGGTTAAGAGAGAAATGTGGAGAAGAAAGAAGGGAGACGCCAGCAGTAGCATCTTTTCGCTTATCTCCCCTGGTATGTGCAGCATATAAGGAGAACCTAGGTAAGCTGCGCGATGGCCGATGCAAAATGTAGTTAACTTTTGAAGAAATAGTCATGGTTGTACGTTGGTTGAGATACTGCTATGGCACCAAGACCTAGACAGGAGGACGATTATGTTCATCAATCAAAGCCTTTGGCTCAATAGCCTGTCCGCAGGGCGGCGATGATGTGATAATGATTTAGTTTTACGGAAACGGACGCCATCCCATTTCAAACCTTAACCTGGAGGTCTAGGAGGCTGAGTTTGTCTGACCTCCAACAATTGACCAACCTGGTTGGAGTAGGTCTCAAGGCTTCCGATGACAGCACCCAGTATACTGCAGCCTAAAGGTAACGAGCTCGTCATGTAATCTGACGTCTTGGGTTCTTGCCAGCGTAGGGACAGGACGACTCTCGCAGTATCCTTAGCCCACGTGCGACCAGTGGTGGTTGCGCGGCGGCAAAGCGTCGGTACTGCATACCGGTGAACTGCTGATGCCCTACCTCAATGGCACACAAACCGTCACACCACCTTAAGCTTCAGTCTCGCTGCGACGGTTGTTTGATATTGGTTACTCAACTACCAGTGCGTATTTTGGGGGTCTTCTTCCTTTGGGTGCACCTTGTTAGCGTTAAGGAGTAATTTGATAGTGTTATGGATTTACTTGACTGAGGAAAAGTGTAGACAACACCATCCTTGACTGGCATTCGTACAATTGAGGTCCCGGTAAACGGTCGATACTGTCAACGTGAGTGTTCCTCGGCCAAATGATAACCCTCTATAGCCTGGTAGGTTGGTTAAGAAAACGTTACCGGTTTCGTTCTCAGTTTATTTCATTTGCTTTTCGTTCTGAAAGTGAAGCGAACATGACATGGCATCCGTTGACACAAAGGTTATGATAGTTTTGGTTATTATTACTTGTTGTTTCGATCGCTCTAGTTAGGCCTGTGTTCAACCTCTAGTTTCCCCATCCCACTCATTCTTTGTTTGCCTCAGCTTTATAATCAATGGTCACCAACTATCCATTGCTGTCAATATACCTATATCTCTTCCCATTTGAAACGTCTTCTGGAGACAGACCACTTGTGTTATATGAATATTTTATCCACTTCTTTGTTCCCTCACCGGTGGTTAATAGATTTCAAGACATATATTTATGATTATCTTTACGATGCAGCATTGTTTGTTTTTCTATCTGGGCAGTTGACACAAATACCGACCTACCTTCGTAACTGATTCAACTCCTCTTCCCATAACGCTGCGATTTTACCTCGTGTTTATCCTGCCCACTTTAAAGGGAGACCGGCTGCGAGAGTAATGTGGTGACCAAGCGGTTCGAGGTTTCAAAGGCCAATTGTGCTACCGAAAGCGGGAGGACAACCTCGCTTGACGACTACGCATATCTAGACGACTTGAAAACCATTGAATATCATAGAAAGAGGACCCGCGTAAGTACACTTTTGTTGCTGAGTAAGACGATCTTCTGTATGCTTCCTCACACTTGTTTTCCTGATTTGTTCCCATATGGTACCCTCGTTAAGCTCCTTCACAGTCTGTATGCATGGCCCCGCCAAACCCCAAACCGCCATTTTTGAGTAGTCCCACTGCCCGACATAAGGGCCTGTGTTACAGTGACATGTGAAATGATTGCAATTACTGCCCAATGTGGCTGTCATCGTGTGCGAACTTATAAGACCAGTGACACGGACCTAGAGATGCTATTGTTTGGCTAGAGTAAATATCTATGCGGAGAAGGGGTTTCGCACTTTCAACACAAGGTCTGCACTTTTGCGAAAACACAGCTGTCGATCGATGGGCATCGGAGTTTGTTCATTTAAAGGAAAGTGTACGTTTTGCTCATTTCTTACTCAGGAACGTACGGTTTTTTGTACTTCATTGGCCAATCGGTATCCCTTGAATGCTTTTATTCTCACCTCAAATGGTTTCTATACTGTTTACTGACGTAACGGTGACTCCAGTTGCAAGATGGCTACCAGCATCGGGCTATCCGATTTCAAGTAATCCAATTGGTGAAAAAGACAAGAGGAAGCGCTATATCAATGAACCAGGTAAACAGTAGGACCTCGAATTGTTGGGTTTGTTTGGCTGCTCAACCACACCACTGCGCATAGCGTTACTACGCACTTCTGCTGTTTTCGTTTGTGTTTACTTTCCTACACCTGGTACACACTGACGCTTTTTTTATTCGTTCCTAGTCACATTCTAGGCATTTTACTCGTGCCATCTCAGAATCGACTTCAGTTCCAATTCGGTTGCTGTCGCCTTCTTGACAAACAGACAACATGTAGGTTTTTGACAGGCATACGCTTATAACTTTAGTTGCATCATCATCATCATCATTATACAAGTTAGATGAAGGTGAAAAACACCTCAGCTACTGTTCCGCAATACAAAAGATAAGAAAAGGACAACAAACAGTGGCACGCCGGCTGAGTCCCCAGCAACGGATGGACATCGTTCCGGAAAGCTAACAGCTGGCTATCGTGCCGTAAAAAGAGAGTTATATTATGCCTAACGAGTGAGATCGTGATTGGATGGGGATGCTAAGCAGGAGGGGATGGACAAAGGAAATCACAACACAAACGCCATTAGGGCCGGCTCCAAGCCATATCAGCAAGTGTGTCCAAACAAACGTGTTCACCGTCCTTAGGACCCCAGCCAGGCAGTCGGTATGCACCAACCGACGCCAACTTCGAAGTGAGGGTTTTCATTCCTCCCGACCAAGTTATCGCTTGGCCTCCCCTCCTCCTCTTCCAACCGTACCCACAAAGCGCACACAATGCACGTCGCGGAAGTCGGTGGGCTGGCATGCACAACACGTGGCCCAACCATCGGAGCCTGGTGCGTGATATAATGGTGCTGAGCAGTTCACTCGCTCTTCCTGCACCAAATACGCGACGCCGAACACGCTCATTGCTCACGCGGTGCTCCCAGCAGACATGAGCTAAGCTGCGAAGGCAGCGATGATCGAATGTGACGAGCCTCTTCATGTCTGTCGACCTGATGGGCCAGGTTTCACAGTTATATAGGAAAGTTGAACGGACGGCGGCGTTATAAACTGGCCTTCAGGGCGAAATTAATGGTCGCATCTGCGCCATAGGTGGCGGAGATTGGGAAAATCACCTCGAGCTTTTGCTATACGGTTCGTAACCTCATCTTCGATTGCACGGGTGCTAATATAGCTGCCCAGGTACTTGAATTGCGGAATGACTTCTAACAAATCACCACAAAGCATTAGCGCAGGGTTGGGTCTCCGCCAATCTTGGCGAAGAACTTTGCATTTGGATGGAGCAAAGCATAGCCCAAAACGATAGACAGCCAGTGCTAATTGGTCCAGTGCTGCTTGGTATGTTTGAGAGCTGTCACAGATTAGGGAAATATCATCTGCATACTCCAAGTCAAGAAGTCGCTCACCAGGAAGTAGTTCCACACGCTTTACATCGTGTCCATCGAATGTTGTTTCCATCACTTCATCAGTAGCGGAGTGAAATAGGAAAGGTGACAGCGGGCAACATTGTCTCACACCGCTGGTGATACTGAAGGGCGACGACAGTTTACCATAAATCCTCGCTCTGCCCGTACTTTGCGCGCACGGCGCTTTGATAATGTTTACATATTTAAGTGAGGTTCTTCGCAGTCAGTTTCCAAATCACATAGTCGTCCACATGCCCGGAAAAGCACTAGACTGCAGTTTCAGCCTGTTGGGCATCATCAGTAGTGCGCATCCATCGGATCCATCAGGATTCGAACCCATGACCACCAGCGGATTGAACCGCCAGTCAGCAGCTTATGCCACTGGGCCACGGGGGACAGCTTCGGACCGTCGTGATTTACAAGCTAACTGCGATATAGCGCGTCTTATCCTCCACTGCCATGCAAGTTACGAACGTTGCAGAGGACAGGGTTGGCCCCGAAAGACACGGCGTCCACTAACAGTAGCTATGTACGACATAGCATTTAGAAACTGTCAGGGCAGGTATATTTCGATGTACTCATGAGTAGGGGATTTTTGATGTAATTAAGTGAGGTTCTTCGCAGTCAGTTTCCAAATCACATAGTCGTCCACATGCCCGGAAAAGCACTAGACTGCAGTTTCAGCCTGTTGGGCATCATCAGTAGTGCGCATCCATCGGATCCATCAGGATTCGAACCCATGACCACCAGCGGATTGAACCGCCAGTCAGCAGCTTATGCCACTGGGCCACGGGGGACAGCTTCGGACCGTCGTGATTTACAAGCTAACTGCGATATAGCGCGTCTTATCCTCCACTGCCATGCAAGTTACGAACGTTGCAGAGGACAGGGTTGGCCCCGAAAGACACGATCGTCCACTAACAGTAGCTATGTACGACATAGCATTTAGAAACTGTCAGGGCAGGTATATTTCGATGTACTCATGAGTAGGGGATTTTTGATGTAATTAAGTGAGGTTCTTCGCAGTCAGTTTCCAAATCACATAGTCGTCCACATGCCCGGAAAAGCACTAGACTGCAGTTTCAGCCTGTTGGGCATCATCAGTAGTGCGCATCCATCGGATCCATCAGGATTCGAACCCATGACCACCAGCGGATTGAACCGCCAGTCAGCAGCTTATGCCACTGGGCCACGGGGGACAGCTTCGGACCGTCGTGATTTACAAGCTAACTGCGATATAGCGCGTCTTATCCTCCACTGCCATGCAAGTTACGAACGTTGCAGAGGACAGGGTTGGCCCCGAAAGACACGGCGTCCACTAACAGTAGCTATGTACGACATAGCATTTAGAAACTGTCAGGGCAGGTATATTTCGATGTACTCATGAGTAGGGGATTTTTGATGTAATTAAGTGAGGTTCTTCGCAGTCAGTTTCCAAATCACATAGTCGTCCACATGCCCGGAAAAGCACTAGACTGCAGTTTCAGCCTGTTGGGCATCATCAGTAGTGCGCATCCATCGGATCCATCAGGATTCGAACCCATGACCACCAGCGGATTGAACCGCCAGTCAGCAGCTTATGCCACTGGGCCACGGGGGACAGCTTCGGACCGTCGTGATTTACAAGCTAACTGCGATATAGCGCGTCTTATCCTCCACTGCCATGCAAGTTACGAACGTTGCAGAGGACAGGGTTGGCCCCGAAAGACACGGCGTCCACTAACAGTAGCTATGTACGACATAGCATTTAGAAACTGTCAGGGCAGGTATATTTCGATGTACTCATGAGTAGGGGATTTTTGATGTAATTAAGTGAGGTTCTTCGCAGTCAGTTTCCAAATCACATAGTCGTCCACATGCCCGGAAAAGCACTAGACTGCAGTTTCAGCCTGTTGGGCATCATCAGTAGTGCGCATCCATCGGATCCATCAGGATTCGAACCCATGACCACCAGCGGATTGAACCGCCAGTCAGCAGCTTATGCCACTGGGCCACGGGGGACAGCTTCGGACCGTCGTGATTTACAAGCTAACTGCGATATAGCGCGTCTTATCCTCCACTGCCATGCAAGTTACGAACGTTGCAGAGGACAGGGTTGGCCCCGAAAGACACGACGTCCACTAACAGTAGCTATGTACGACATAGCATTTAGAAACTGTCAGGGCAGGTATATTTCGATGTACTCTCTAAATGCTATGTCGTACATAGCTACTGTTAGTGGACGCCGTGTCTTTCGGGGCCAACCCTGTCCTCTGCAACGTTCGTAACTTGCATGGCAGTGGAGGATAAGACGCGCTATATCGCAGTTAGCTTGTAAATCACGACGGTCCGAAGCTGTCCCCCCGTGGCCCAGTGGCATAAGCTGCTGACTGGCGGTTCAATCCGCTGGTGGTCATGGGTTCGAATCCTGATGGATCCGATGGATGCGCACTACTGATGATGCCCAACAGGCTGAAACTGCAGTCTAGTGCTTTTCCGGGCATGTGGACGACTATGTGATTTGGAAACTGACTGCGAAGAACCTCACTTAATTACATCAAAAATCCCCTACTCATGTTTACATATTTATCAGGAACACCTTTCCTCAGCAGACAATCCCAAAGGGCAAGTCGATCGACTGAGTCGAAGGCACCTTTTATGTCAAGAAACACAACAACGGTAGGTCGCCAATAAACGTGACGGTGCGCCAACAATTGACGAAAGGTGAAGTTGTGGTAGATGCAGTCCCGACCTGTACGAAATCCTGCTTGCTCTTCACGAATCTGGCTATCACGAGTGCCAGTCAGTCTGTGGAGAATGACAGGCAAGCAATTTAGTGGCATTCGAAATCAGACTGATCCCTCTATGATTATCGGATTCCAAACGGGTTTCCCTTGAAAATTGGGACAGTGACGGAGCGGTTCCAGTCTGTCGGGACAGTCTCCTGCTCCCAAAGTTTCACTAGCAACTCGTGTATATCATCTATTAGAGCAGGTCCCCCGAATTTGAAGAAAGCTGGGGGAATTCTATCTGC